AGGCAAAAAATGTGGAGTCTGTGTCTGGGCTTGTCAAAAGTAAACATGAGTTTATTGAAGTCCTTTGGGAAGGTTGTTCTTTGAAGTAAGTCTTTTGTCAGAACACAGAGTGGGCATTTTTCAACCTTTGTTGTCTCAACACAGACCTCAGGTAGTTTTTAGCACTGTCACAATGTGCACTGGTGAACATCATCATGAGCTGTTTTTCTTTCAACATTCATACATATATTGATACAAGCAACCTTCTGCTGGTATGCAGGACACTTTATAAATATTACTGATAATGACATATCCTCACAATTAGCTAAAAGTACTAGAACGCAGACCAACATCAATTCTTAGCCCCATTTATAAACACATGACAAATTACATGCCTAGAAGAATCAAGTTGACTAAGCATTCTGTGGATGCAACTCATTTTGGGCACAGGATTCAGAGATACCAGGTTGCCTCCCCTTAACAAGGCAGTATGGCCTGAAAACTTTAGTAGGAGTGGTGAACATCTGTGTCTGTCACTTATTTTGGACATTTGCTTTGAGTCACAGGGATTAAATATCACTTCAACTTCTGGAGTAGGTCACTGGAGTCATTCATAGCCAATTTCATCTCCCATCTCTGATGCCAACTCTCTTTCAACATGACTCTGTCTCCTTTTTCTTTTTGTATACTTTTGAAATTCAAAGTCAGGTTTCTCTCCACCATCCACAAAAGAAGTTGCAATCTGGTTTCTGGTGAAAGGGTCGCAACTCAAGAGGTGCCAGAGATATGGGAAAAACTGAGTTGTGTGGCTGCGGGGCAAGAGCTGGAGAGACAGCAGCCATTGTCCCTGTGTGGAGCCTGCCTCATGTTCCTTGTGGTTTTTAATTTGCCTTTTGCAAGTGGCTAATGATGCTGACTATCTTTTTCATGTACATATTTGCCATCTGGATGTCTTCTGTGAAATGTCTATTCATGTCTTTTGAGCATTTTCTAATTGGATTCTTACTGTTGAGTTTTGAGTTATTCATAAATTTTAGATACTTGTCCTTTATCAAGTAGGTAGTTTGCAAATATTTTCTTTCAGTCTAACTTTGTCTTTCCATTCTCTTACCAAGGTATTTGCAGAGCAAAAGTGTTTAATTTTGATTAGCTTCAATTTATCAAATTTTTAAAAGGCCTTAGATGTTTCAACTAATTTTCTGTCTTGCTGTCCTATGTCTGAATTGTCCATATGTGGCCAATGTTACACCTTTATTACTGTCCTATGACAGCCCTGAAAGAATCCCCATCTACCGGGCAAAAAATGTCCCATTCCTTCCCTAGCAAATAGGATAAAGTGTCTGTTCGAGGATATAGGATAAAGAGATTGTTCATTTTTTAGTGAGTTTATTAGAGCTCTCCAGAGAAATAGAACTAATAGAACATATAAAGGGTTGGCTCACCAATTACAGAGGTCGACAAGTCAAAAATCAGTGTGGGCTGGCTGACAGGGACATGTAAAAGGCTGATGTGTGTTGGCAGCAACGCCAAGGGATGCCTGGGTTGTTTTTGAGACAGCATGGGAGGTATCGTAGAACCTTTGGGCTCATAAAAATATTCCTTCTGACAGCTCAGTCTCCTACGTCAAGGTTAACAGTGAAGTCAGTTGACAGCATGTCTCTGATGTATATGGAAAATGGCACTTCACCTCTGTAGTCTTCCTTCCCCCAAACCCACAATGCCAGTGCAATCATGGAGAAAGCATCGGTAATCCCACACTGAGGGACACAAACTACCACGCCAGTATTCCTACGAATTGTCAAGGTCTAGCTTATCAGCATTGTGGTCTCTTTGATACCAATTCCTTGAAACTTTGTTGATTTGCTTTACAGCCTAATGTGCAACCAATTCTCAAAAAAATATTTCATGTATGCTTGAAACAAAGGTCGAGGTGCTAATTCTTAAATGTAGCATTGTATATCATAATGAGTGCCATTTCGTCATTTTCCCAGTCTGCACACCTTTTATTCTCACACTTCTGCCTCTAAACCCACATGAAACATACAAAGTCCTCACTTAACGTTCCCCCCAGTTTCTTGGAAACCGTGATTTTAAGCAAAACATACAACAAAATAAATTTTACCATGGGCTAATTGATATAAAAAAGATTTAAGTTACTACAGCATATTTCTGGTCACGAAAACATCACAAACTTCTAAACACTATTAAACACTGAAATCAATGTGCTATATATACATTTGAGAAAGATGAACAAAAACAAGATAATTTTTCCCACCCGCTTATTCTAGTTCAGATCGCAGGTGACTAGAGCCCATCCTGGCAGCTCAGGGTCCAAGGCGGGAATGCACCCTGAACAGGATACCCTTCCATCGCAGGGCGACTCACACACCGCCTCTCACTCCACTGGCACAATTTGGACACACTGATTCACCTCACGTACACATCTTTGGGATGTGGGAGGAAACGAGTCCCTGGAGAAAACCAATACAGACATGGAGAGGATGCAAACTCTACACAGTGTCCCTGCCCAGGAATCAACTGTTTTTCTCATCAATTTTGTAACAAAACAATATTGAACAAAACTGTTCTTTGAAGACCTGCTGTGGGGACACACCCTAACAGAACATGTAGCTCTCTGTAAGTCAGAAGCTATCTCTTATTACCTTATTTGGAAATCTCAGAGGCAAAAGCAAGCTGGAGGTGGGATGTCTTCATATGGTGGTATCTGTTTTTCAGACAGTACACACAGACTTCCTCTGGTAAACACAAGCTAAATTATTTTTGCAGGAATCAGTTCCCAGATATTCAATTTCCATGTGTACTCTTTCCTAAAGTTGATCTGCCTGAAAAGATGCCTCAGGACAAGGTATCATCCCTCTTATCAATTATTCTTTTCACATTAGACAAAAAAGACACACCACTTTTCCATTCTGAAGCTTACCAAGGCATTCTGTTATTTTAAATAGTAGTTACTAAATTATCCTAAATTCCTTGAACTATTTAAACCTAAAATGAAAATCTTAAAATGTCAATTTAAGAAGTACTAGTGGATATAAAGTTTTTCCAAATTATTTTTAGAATACTTCTAGAGCTCCAAAATGTCCCCAAGGAGAAGAAACATGATCATATCCCAAAGAAGAAGGAATGGGGAGAAATAAATCTCTAAAGTTATCTCTCCATCTCTAAATGTTTCTCACCTTAAAATCTCTAGGGCTTTCCAATTTTCCCAGCACCATCTTTTGAAGAGTCTTTCCTCTCTCCATTTGTCACCTTACACAAAAATTGACTCAAAATGGATCAAAGACCTAAATATAAGACCTGAAACAATAAATAAAACACGTACAAGAAAACATAGGTACCGAACTTATGGACCTTCACCTTGCAGAGGATTTGATGAATTTGACCTCAAAGGTAACGGAAAAGCAAAAAAAAATGAATGGGACTATATCAAACAAAAAAGCTTTTGCACAGCAAAAGAAACCACCAACAAAACAAAAAGGCAACCAATCGAATGGGAGACGGTATTTGCAAACAACGCCTCCGATAAGGAGCTAAAATCCAAAATCTATAAAGAACAATACAACAACAACAAAAACAATCAATTAAAAAATGAGCAGAGAACCTGAATAGACACTTATCCCAGGAGGACATACAACTGACCAACAGATTATGAAAAGATATTCCATCTCACTAGCTATGAGGGAAATGCAAATTAAAACCACGAGATATCACCTCACACCTGTTAGGATGGCCATCATCAACAAGACAATAACAAGTGTTGCAGAGGCTGTGGAGAAAAAGGAACCCTCACACACTGCTGGTGGGAATGTAAATTGGACAGCTGCTCTGGAAACTATGGAAATACCTCAAAAAGTTTAGAGCAGAATTACCATATGACCCAGCAATCCCTCTCCTATCTACCCGAAAAATTTGAAAACATTTATCTGTAAAGATATATGTACCCCTATGTTCACTGCAGCATTATTCATGGTGGTCAAAATTTGGAGACAACCAAAGTGTCCTTTGATAAATGATTGGATAAAGCCATGGTACGTATATATCATGGAATACTACTCAGCCATAAGATGAAATACTGCTACTTGTGACAACATGGATGGATCCTGAGATCATGCTAAGCAAAATAAATCAGATGAAAAAAGTCAAGAATCATGATTTCACACATATGTGATATATAAAACTGAAAGCAACAAATGAACAAGACGAAAAAACAACAATTCATAGACACAGACAAGTTTAGCGGTTACCAGAAAGGGGGGTAGAGGGAAGTAGAAAAAGGTAAAGGGTGTTAAATATATGGTGACTAAAGGAGACTTGCCTTTGGGTGGTGAACACACAAATGCAATATACAGATAATGTATTATAGAATTGTGCACTTGAAACCTATGTAATTTTATTAACCAGTAAATTTAAATAAATTTAATAAAATTAAATAAAATAAAAACCTCTAGGAAAAGTGACCTCTACAGCTTATGCAGAAAACCGTTTTGAGGTAAATAGTTCACCAAATTCCCATTGTTTGAGCCAAGTATTTTTAGGATCTGCTAAAGAAGGATTTCCTATCCCACTGTTAGGCTTTACTTTTTGAATTTTTACATCATAATAAGAGAAATTCAAGATATCAAGAGACAGAATATGGCCAATAGGGAAGCCGTTTTTGTAATTCCTCATCAAGTAACCCTATCAAATATTCAGATATTAACTGTACTGCTTCCAGCCCCTGCCTGAAGGTAAAATTCTTCAAGTGATAAAACGTAGCTTGGTCTTGCATTATTAAGTCTTTATAATCCTTCTGAGCACCTGTTCCAAAGAGAGGAAGTGATTCGTTTCTCTTCTCTAGGAACAAAAATTGTAGGCCCTTGGTGGCATCCAGTGATAGTGTTCTTTCCTCATTTGGGACAATGAGAGGCATACTTTTCTCAGTTCTTTATTAAAAACATAGACAGCTAGCCAGTATAATTTTTAAACAAAGAACTGTAAAACACTTTAAGTTTAGAGACATTATATCCCTCCCTTGTTGCAACACACAGTCTATCTTTTGAGATGAGGCACAAAGATCTTGGTGTAACTCCTATTAAGAGTAACAGACAACAGATGCAGTTTACAGTTTAAGTCTAGCCTATGAAAAGAAAAAAACATTACATGTAGGTGTCACCTCCAAAGAAGACACATAACAGACACTAGTATGCAACATTCATTAGATTTATTTCACTAAATATTATGGTTCAAAAAAACAAACCAAAAAACTTTTATTTAAAACTAGTCCAACGAGGTGGATGGGGCTGGCGCCATCCCACTCCCTTCTTTCTACATATATGGAACTGGAACCACATCAGACAGCAAGCACTCATGGATACTGCGCCTTTCCTGCTGAACATGAATGAACTTCTCTGAACCAAGAGAGACAAATGAAGTTTTACAAGATACAGGCACTTTATGTTCCCAGTTTTAGAAATAAGTGAAAAATACTTAGTAAAAGTAACTGGAACAGAGAAAGCTTTAGGAGTTCTACCGTTAGTTTTAGTGACTTACACTCAATGCAAACAGATAGCATCAAACAAATAAAACAAAGTTTAACTGGAGTCAATGGGCATATACGTAAAAAATAAATCCAATTTACTACAATTGGAGAAAAACGCCCATCTGATTCCAACTTAAAAATATGCCAATAATGTGCATTGAATCTTGTGTACCTACACAGCTGAGTAACATCTGAAAGCTTTGCAAGAGTGTGTGGTTAGTGAGAAAAGCAAAAGGTGCTTTTGATTCCACAGTATCTGATTAAACAAAACAAAGCAATTTACAAAAAAAAGTACCAAATGATACTTTAAAATAAATAGTTCATCATTTTGATGAATATATACACGTAGAGTCCACTTGTTGGAAATTTAGCTATCTAAAAGTGGCATATCACTATCCAGGGGCGCAGGGGCAAGTTCACATAAATAGAACAGAGTGGCTTCACTAGCTTCGGCTTCAGTCAATGGCTCCAGGCGAACAAGCTTACTTTGGGTTGGTTCTGGGTCCAGGCTGCTCTCCAGAAGCTCATCGACTTCTATGGGTTTATCTACAGAGGACATAACTTCTGATGAAGCCGTGCTCCCCTGTTCAACAGTAGAAGCAGGGTTCCCGTCGAGGAATGCAAGAAGTGGAAAGGCAGTGTACTGGATAAGCTGCTTATCTATAATAAAGATCAGAAAAATGCTCTTTTATCACCAGCTTACACAGCATTCAAGCTGAAGGTGGAAAGTACAGAAACAGAGATGTACATATATGCAATCACTAACCTTACATAGCAAAATAAGAAATATAGTTTATCAGTAAATTAAAAAATGCTCAAGTCAGAAAGTTAGTCTTTTATTCAACAATTAAGAAGTGAGAGTTATTTCAGGTCTCCTAGAGTTAAATAGACAAAAAACAAAAAAAACATGACTTAAATTGTAAGAACTTACTGATTCAATTTTCTCTTTATGCTGGAATCTTGGTACATCATGCCTAGAACTGACACTAGTTCATTCTACATTCAATTGCTAAGTATTGCAAGACTTTCCTTGGCTTACATTAGTTTCTATATAAGACGCCTAATCTTAAAAACCTATAGAAATCAGTACCACATTTATACTTACCTATTTTGGGTTTCGATTTTCTTCCGTCTTCTGAAACTGGCTGAACTACATTGTTCTTGGTAGTTTCCAATCCTTTATTCTCAGACTAAAAGAGAAAATAATAATATAAAAATACTTGTTTCATATTTTTCATGTTCCTCAAAATAGCAAAAAAATGAACTGGTACAGTATGTGAATATTGGTACATTATCTGAAACATGAGAAGGGGGAGCATCAGGAAAGATGGGACTAGAGAGAGAAAGAGATGTGAGTACAGGTAACAAGACTGGTTACCTGTGGCTGTCATCAGTGGATGAAACCAAGATCCTGAACTAGCATGACAATCAGCAGGAAAAGAAAAGTAGCATTTCGACAGTAGAACAGACAGAATGTGTCAAGGATAAAAGATGGGAATCTATCAAAGATGGCTGGTTTCAAACTTCTAATTAAGAGATAAAGTCTTTAAACAAACCCATTTTAAACAGTTCTGATTAAAAATGTATTACACATTTCTCCTCCTTCACAAATAGAATATTAGCATAAGTGAACATATTTAGAGTAGCTCAGGATAACATGGTAATACCCTTAAAACTATTTATCCCTATATTTGGAAGCCTCAAAGTTGAGGTGATGTTTCTTCACACTTCATTTTTGTGGCTCTTTCAGTTCTTTCTGTCATTTAAATTGCTTCTTTCAACCACTGTCTTCTCTCCTTACATCTGATTGTAAGGGGTTTAAATCTTTAATGCTGTTAAATTCTTCAGTGCTCTTTTCAACGAGGTTCAAACTGATGTGCAAAGGTTCACAATTTTTTCTGAATAGCTGTTAAGTCCCAAATATCTGCATGCTGGTTAAGTATATATGGTGTCACAGACATACTAATTCCTATAATTCCTCTGATATTCATCATAAAAATGAAGTACAACTTTTCATGATTCAGAGATAATGACCCCAAAATATAATAAAAATTACTTATACCTTATCAAAAATTTACACAAAAGTATTTTCTCATTTAGCATTCACAATAAACATTAATGCAGTAATACCATTTCTATTTGTATACTTCCTAAAATAGGTATCTTTCCAAGGATGCCACTGTTGTTACTCTAAAACATACGAGAACCAGGATGACACATGGGTTTCGTCTCCCATGCAAATTCTTCTTTATTAGTAGTGGCCACTTCGATTCCTGTACTGAGGAGTATAAAGTATCCTGATTTATTAGAAAAGAGCTTTGTAATCCATGTCATAGAATATCTGTCATGAGCAAGAGAATAACAGTTGATGTGCCAATTAAGTAAAAACATTAATCACGGTTCTAGAACTATAAAGATTCTAGAACTCTCAAACTTAATTTTTCTGCAGTATTGTAGGGCAATATGCAATTTGCTGTTTAACTGCTATTTCTGAAAACTGTATTTAAGCTATTGGTTTTTGGAATAAGAAAGATGATCAAAGAATAAAAAAATGACTCAATGTCTAGCAATAAACAGTACATCACATTCACTGAATGAATGTGTGCTATGGGTTCATTCAACTTAAGATCTAGCATTCAGTAATATCATACTTACTGAAACACAGTGCTGAATTGATCCATAGAATCTTATAACATAAATCTAGGAAAACTATGGTCCACATGCCAAATTCAGCACACTGCCTGTTTTTGTAAATAAAATTTTATTGGAGCACACACACACTCATTCTTTTACATACTGTCTATGCCTGCTTTTGCACTAAAATTGCAGAGTTGAGTAGTTGTTGACAGAGACATGGCCTGCAAAACCTAAAATATTTACCAACTGGCCTTTACAGAAAAAGTATGCTAACCCCTAACATAAATCATCCAAAACTGAATGCATAACCAGCTTTCTAATTGAAAAAGTCACAATTTCTTTCAACTCTATGTTACCCAGGCTATAACTTTGAAAAGGTAGAAAATATATTCAGGCTATCCTCACACACGGTAATAGTTAAAACAATTGCACCCTTTCACTATAGTCATATTTATTTGATATGTATCCATTTTTAGACTACAATAAAGTTTTGATTCTACTAATCTAGAATCTGTACAAATTTCAGAGGACTTAAATTACCTTTGTATTCAATGAAAAATAGGGATTACTATACAACTTGGTATAAATACAAAATAAACAGGGTATATACTTATTCAAACCAATAAGTATACAAGTTAACTGAATAATTTCTACATATCTGCTTTAACAACCTCAAAATGTCCTTAGTACTCGTTAAAAACCAGTTCCAAAGAATTTCTTGTCAACACTTGCTAATCCCAACTGCTGTTCCTATACATTTAAATAACGAAAACCATTACTTAAAAAAAATCCAAATCCATACTTCACTGTTTCAATTTGCCTTACCTACTATTAGTAAAAATCCCTAAGCTTTTATACTATACGCTAACAAAATAAACGTATTTAAGAATATCAATACCAGTAAATTCTCAATAAAAAATGCTGAGAAGTTTATAGAAGAAATAAAATGTAAAACAAAGCACATAAAACATGGAATCATATTTTAATAATTGATTTCAGTGATAAACCTGAACATGCCAAGTTTAATCAGGTGATCTCCCAGCACTTTGAGGGCTGATTTCATACTGGCAGTTAACCACACAAGTGCCAGTAGAAGTGAGCAATGATTCACCCCATAATCAAAAGCTAATTTTCATCTAGAATTTTACTATCTTGATCACACATATTAGGTTAATAGTATAAAATGCTTTTTGTAACCGGGAGTGATAATGCTTTCTACTTACTAGGACTTTTTTCAGATTCTTATAGCTATGGGTCCTGAGCAACATGAATTAAAACTTACTTTTGTATTATTGATGTAATCTGTGGGATTCATCTGCACAGAACTAGTGAAAAGCTGAAAGACCAAACAAGAAAGATGATAAGATTAAAAAATTTAAAAAATTTAACTGTGTGTTCAAAATTTTTATAAAGCTGTGTTGGGTGAAGAGATGTAGCTCCCTGCACTAGGAAGTTTCTGTACAGTAAAAACAAGTTTGGAAGAGAAAAGCAGGAAAGCAGAAAGAAAAATAAACAAACAAACAAAAGCAGAAGAAGCTAGCCCATGCATTAGATGTTGTAAGAATTTCTCTATAAAACTATGGGGTAAATCACTTGAGATACAAATGGTGGTTTTTTGCTCCTCCCCTCTCCGTCATTTCCTGTATTTTTTTTCTCCCTAAATACCTTTGGCCTTAAGTGGCAGCCAGAACTGAGTTCCTTGCCCTGACACTAAGCCCTCACTGATATTTGCTAATTATGTAATAAATGTGTAGAATCTGCTCAATGACAGTGGCTCCTAGACTATACCTCAAGTGGAGCCCTCTGACCAAATGACATACCTCCTTGTTGGTTCTTTACACCTCACCTAGCAAGGGAGCCATAAATGCCAAGACCACTGCTTACTGCACTCCTCAGTCCAGCCAGTTTACAGACATAACTTTTGTTCAAGGCGTAAGCTTCAATGTCATTCATTCCACAGGGATTTATTGAGCATATAAGAAATAATTGACATCATGAAGAATACAAGATGAAGACACTATTCCTGCTCTCCAGGAGCTTACAATCTAAAGGACAAAATAAGAACAACATCAAATAGCAACATATGATCAGATACAATCCAATATTATAGTAATAATGGATGGCGGAGCTCAAAAGTACTAAGGAGTTAAGAAAAAGGAGGAAAAGACAGAGACAGAGAGATAGACAGACACACACACACACGATGAAACAAAAGGCCCGGATGAAACTATGAGACAGGTATCAGTTAGGACTTGGTAAGGAGATGATAGAGGGGAGAATATATTCTTATTGCGATAGGAACAACAGAGAAGGAGTAAATCGACCAATCCAAATAACACAGAAGTTCTGAATTAAATAGTAAGTTGTATACATAAGGTTCTACAAGTAAAGAAAGGCCACTCAGGGGACAAGACCACATTGTGCCAGCAGTAAGAGCCTTGAGAATGGCCTGAGCAATGAAACAGTGATAAAAAAGCATTTTAAGAGAATGAGCTCACCAAATGGTTCACAGGATGAAATGCAGAGGCCACAGACAGGTTCTCCGTCCACCCTCCAGACATTGACTCCATCAAAGCTCCACAATCATGACAGCCCTAAAAATATCCTCAGCTCTTCCTTTCCTTTCATTTCACCCCTTTCATATCACCTACTGATCTACGAAAAGGAAGAGACTCAGTTCCTTAAGAGTAGCTAGCTTTACATGACTGCCCATCTCTACCGGTTCAGCTTGCACTGCCTTCGAGGCCTGACCAGATTTTGTCCTACTGAGAGAAGCATCTGAGGAGGGCCAGCTGTGTAAGCTCCTCACTCGTTCTTTGCCCCACTACCCCTATGCACTGAGTCAGGGATACCTTCATGTGTTCCCAGCACATGTATGGTATGAAGTAGAAAAAAG